CAAGCAAGAAGTGCAAGGAAAGAAACTGTTAGCATAGAACTTATGATTACGTCTAGCCATTTCAACAATATTAAATGATGAGACTGTTTTTAAACAACAATTCTCCATGAGTAAAAACAGTAAAATCAACCTTGCTAACCAAAACTGCTCCTCTGTGGCTAAATCAGTAAAGCATGTCAGGCTATATGACGGTTCCGTATAGGATACAGGTTCAATTCCTGTCGGTGGACACATATTTTCTATGAAAATTTCTTGGACATTCAGGCCAGTAAATGTCGTTAATACTGTTTATTATAAATAGAGCATTTACTTAAACTTTTATATCAATAAAAAGAATGTATAAACATAAAAAAATGTTTTAAAATAATTGTCGGACTTTGTCCATTTCATAATATATATATATATATATATATATATATATATATATATATAATTGTGGACATAGAAATCAATACTGTCCACATTGTCAATATCAAAATACAAATGTTACACTCTTCCATCTTAAATATAACAAATTTTAAATAATATACTCATATATGGGTGCGATAGGTAAATTGTCACCATCTTATATTTTTAATTTTGTGCATGTGTGTTATTTGTTTTTGATTTTGTCAACTGTACAGTATAGTAGGGTCCATCTGTGAGAAAACAAGCACCATGATACAATTCACTCTGCTTAAAAGTTTGGAAACAGCATGCTGTAATGCTTGGCATTAACACTAGAAGCTCCAATACTAACATTTCAGAGTGTTTGAGTGTAAAGCTGAGGACAGCACAAAGGATTCGGAAAGAGTTAGATGAGTCTAATGTTGATTAAGAAGGTGTTTGGAGTGATCACCAGTGATGATGATGCTATGCCTCCATTCATCTTCCCACAGGGCCTTAGACTCAACACAAGAGTCCAACATCAAATGCTTTGAGGAGGTAGTGCTTCTCTGGGTTAAGAGGGTGACTGCCAACAGGACTCTGCACCATGACACAAACAGGACAACTCAGTCATGACTGTCAGATAATTTCTGCAACCACATCTCCCCTTACATCTAGCCACCTAACTCCCAAGACTGCAACTCCCTTGCTTATTATGCGTGAGGTATAGTTTGTGAGAGACCAACAAAAGTTCTTGTAACACCAAGATGAACTGAAAGAAAGGATTGTGGCAGCATTCATTAACTTAGTCAAGAAGACCATCCACAAGAGTTGCAGGAGATTCTGAAGTCATCTAGAACCAGTGGTTAAAGTCAATGGTGATTTAATTAATAAATTTACTCTTTAATATTTCAAGATATTTTTGTGTAATTTTGGTAAATATGTCTGTTAAAATGAGATGTCAATTTATCCATCCATAGATTTATTTATAACTAGAAGCATGGCCTGGCGTTCCTCGTGCTTGATTCAAAAATCGTATGACTCATACAGCAATCGCTATCACTTGACTTAAAATATTTTTGCCCTTCCTTGCCTTTAAAGGAGTGCCCTTTGCCGTGCTGATGTTGCTACATGCCTTACTTCTTGCCTATCTCACACTGCAAATTTTTTCTAAGCTCTATACTAAACATTAAATTTGTTATGAAAAAAGAACTAAACAAAATGAACACAAAATGATCAGCTTTAAAAAAGGACTTGTAACTGGAAAAACCAAATGAAAAAAGAATGTTAACAACAAATACTTTTTCACACCCAACCCAGTTCTGTGGAATCAGAATCAACATTGAGTTTAAGCAAGCGAATGAGCCAATTGGAGTAAAGTGCCATGCAGATTTTTTTGCATGCTAGTTAACATTTGTGTCAGTCAGCTGTTGGCTCTCACACTGGCCAATAGAATCTTCCTGCCTATTCGTGGCAGCCAGCTATAGGCTCTTGCTCTGGTCAGTACAAAATGGCCGCAAACTACATGAAAACTGCCATAGAAGCATGAAAAAATTGATTATTTCCACTATCGATAAGAGTTGGGAAATGAAAAGTCGGTCTTAGCCTTCCCGCTAACTTGGAGCATGTGCATGTAAATTTTGGTGCAAATCCATCAAAAATTGCGTTCATGCATTTGTTACACACACACACACATCCTGCCTTTTATAGATAGAGATCCAACATTTTTATTACTTCAATTATTATTTTTAGTGGAAACCTGTGTCTGAATAAACTTTTCATTTTTTTAAACAGAGTCTGCACACTTCTTTTGTTTTTATGTATCCATGTCTTTTCAGGACGTAGGCAATCATGGCTCTCCACTTCCCCCTATCCCTTGCAGCTCTCAACAAGTTCCTTCCCTCTGCTACCTCCCCCAGCTGCCTCTTCCTGATGTTAAGCCTCCTCCTTGTTTGCATCCTCTCTAAGACTTCATCGTTGCTCACACGCTTGGTACATAATATCCTTAGGATCATTCTGTAGAACCACATCTCCATCACCTCGAGTCTCTTCTTCAGCTTTGAGGAAATCGTCCAACATTTGCTGCCGTAAAGAAAGAGAGATATCATGTAACAGCTCAGTATTCTTTTCTTTG